AGAGATGAAATTAATCTTTTATCTAATATCCGTAAATTATTTTCTTTGACGAATCCTGTTTGTCCACTGGCTGTAATAGAAGAAACCAAATACAGTGGATTTCGGATGAACTAGTTTCACACGAAATGAACCGAGGAAGGTGAGTGGAATAATTCTTCTACTCGATAAGGCATGACTAAGTGTTTTCTGATCAGACACGTCACAAGCAATGAGCACACACACAGACACACACAAAATACAAACACACTCAATTAAAAAAAAACAACAACCAATCATTGACAAGGTCAAACAACGTGTGAATAATCACTCACTTGAAAAGAATAATAGGTTAACCAATTCATTTTGAATATGATACGAAATCTAGAGAAGTGATTCTATTTTTTTTTTGTTCAATGTTCACTTTCAGTTGAAATGGTTAAATATTCATTTCATTTACTAACACTTACATTTATCTGAATGAAATACGTGAATTAATTTATTGGCCATTTTTTTTTGTTCATCAAATATACTTAAAGCATTTTGTAGATGAATTATTCTACTTCAATGAATTTGTCTCTTCACAGACACATAAATACAAACACATATACATACACTGTTTAGAGTTATCTACTACTGTAGAGGAGGAGATATGAATCCAGTGCACTGGAATAGATAGATAGATAGAAAGAAAGATTGATAGATTAATAGATTAACTGGTTGAATGATTGATTGATTGATTAGTTGGTTGGTTTATACTTCATTAAATTTACTATAATTACTTAACTATTTCAGACATAAAAAGGTCTAACTACGCTTCATCAAAATGATATATATATTGCATTATAAGGTTGTGGGGATTTTTGAGTTACTTTAAATCATGGATCGATCAAAGAAGTATTAAGAAGACGAAGTTTCATCCTGTTATGGAAGTCATCAGTGACTGTAAGAAGGATTTGATTTTAACCAATTTGGTCTCGTGTGCTGTTACGGGTACGAGGGCGGTTGTCACTTCCCGGCTGCCCACACCGTGGGTGTTTCTTGAGGGACCTGTAAAGGAAGGTAGATTAGTGTTGGTCTTGGAGACCTGGGAGCGTGACCGCAGAGTCCAGGGGACAACTGCTTGAGGCCAGTCACACACGGCCTTTTGATGAAAGGTTTTTTAAGTGTTAGCTCCGCACTTAAAAAACCTTAGTGGGTACCTTTACCGCCGGAGATGGGAATCCGTGAGGTAGGGTGAGGTGTGACATTTTTAAGGTCGACCGTTCCTAACCCCATCCTTCCTTCTTTGTGAGAAGGCAGCATCGCCGCAGATGGCTGTTGTCCGAGTGAAACACCTTACTGCTGTCACACCCCTCTGCAGTCAGCAGTACAACTTCGCCCTCAGACCTTGAGTAGCTGCTTTTTGTCTGATCGTTCTCCAATCGACCTGCCTGTCATGGTAGAACCTTCAGGAACATATGTTCCAGCCAATATAGCTCCTGGTTGGGTCATCACAATAGGCAAGCCCGACCACCACGTCAAGGTAGCAGCTTCGGTCGGGCGTCAGTGGCTGTGCGCATCCACAACTCCTGTTACTCGCAAGATTCGAACCCATGAACCTTCGGTCTTGGAGTGCTTGAAGTTAGACATCAACATTATTATTGGATGGTGGCTTAGTGGTTCAAAGGCTAGGAGTTTGTGTACAAGATTAAATGTCCCGAGTTCCGATCCTGTTGTGGTGCGCGCTACTTATAAGTAGTATATGAAGCGAGTAAAAACGTAATGTCTGGCAGCAGAAGATGGGTGGGAAGATCAAGAAAGGAAGAGTGGGAACGCAATGGAATTTGTATGAAACGCATGAACAGTGAAATGTCAGGCAATGGATCGATGTTTTGCAAATTAATGGTTTACGATATGGTTTTCCTATTTTACTGAGTAACTTTGTAATTTTCGTTAAATACAATACGGTTGCCCTCACCTGTGTTTTCCTTCACTACACTGTGAGTAGCCACAGGAGTCATGGATGCGCACTGCTGATCAGTTGTCCCATACCAGGACGTAACGGCCATCCAGTACTTTTAAGTTTCTAATGGTATTATTGATTGGTTTATAATTTCAATATCTATATGTAAATGTATCATAAGTCATTTTCTACTGTACTTCATACAAATCTATTCAAAGCTGATTATTCATGCCAGTTGTCAGACTGAATCATGAATTCTATTATTGATTCATCAATAACTTGTTTACTTGCAGTTTGTTAGTCCTAACGCAGCATAGGCTAGCGACGAGGATTCTCCAACCTGACTCTGACCTGAGCCTCCCTTTCCAGTTCTGTCTAATTACTAATCAGAAAAAAAATAGTTCAATAACTTGTAACACGGACGCAATTACCAAATGCGGTGGGTGTTGGTGAGTCCGGTACTAAAACGAAACCACTCTCTAATGCTTCCGGGTTTATAATCTTTGGTCTAACATTGTTCGATACATGATTTCAAAAAGTAACTCAACAGTCTGCACAACCCTGTCATGTAAATTATCATGTACTCATTAGTGACTCTCTCGGTGTCGAAGTTCCTCTGTGTTCTAGTGAGAATTCGTGACCAGTGGAGTTCAACCCTGTTCGATTGTGAAGTAGTGTTAACCGAAGGCAGTGGGTGAAGTTGAGAAATATCAGTGATTGATTAAAGTTAAATATCAACATAATTGAAGGTTAAGCGTTTGTGTGCGAAATGAAATGTCCTGGATTGGATTCTCGCTTGCGGGTCCCATGGATGCCCACTGCTAATGAGTCCTATACTAGGACGAAACGGCTGTTCAGTTCATCAATGGCAAAACACATCGAAATGGAAGATAGGATATTGAAGTTAAGACAACTTTTATCATGTGGTAAAGAAATGTTCACAGATGAATTCTGAAGATTCTCAAAGCTTTGGCTATTTGTGATGACAAATCCAACTTAATGTGTAGTACATAAAACTATTCGGCCTATGAATGAATATTTAAGCCCTTTTTAATGGCCTGAGGGTAGTTGTGCCTTCTATACTGTGTTTAGTCAGTTTCTCTGTCTTTCCCCTTTATTTACAGCCATCAACTTATGTTTATATATATGAACTTTTATTAAAATTGACGTTTTACTAATTTTCATCTAAAATAGATATTTGAAATCATCAATCAATCATTGTGTGACCAGCATTAGAAACTCTAATTGAAAATATCGTAACATGTGTGTCACTAGTGACGACTAGCTTCGTGAGGAGATTCTCGGAGTTCTAGTTGAGAAGACGTGACTAATGGAGTTCAACCCTGTCGGGTGTAGGCAGTAACTGCCAAAGACAAATGGGTGATGTCGCGCAAAATCCCTAGATTAATCAGAGTTAAACATTAACAACATTGGATGCCGGCCCAGCGATCTGATGGTTAGGCGTTCGCACACAATACCGAAAGTCCCAGGTTCGAATCCTGCGGGGTGCAGGAGTCGTGGATGCTCACTACCGCTGATGAGCCCCATACCAGGACGAAACGGCCATCTTTCAGTGCTTCCAGATTTCTAATACTGTGGTCTAACATTGATCGATTCATGGTTTCAAAAATGTGTTGTAACATATGTGAGTGACCTGATTGTTCGAAATAGCCATAGCGCAAATATATGACAACATTTTTGCAGAACAGCTATTTCTTTTTTGCATTGCTCTAGCCAAATGCAGATAAAAAAAACTAGACAATTATTGTTTGAAGAATTCATCATATCCCTTTAATCAACAAGACAAAAAAAGAACGTGATAAACATGAAATTTTGATTGAATTTACAAAAAGAAGGAATTGAATGATGGATAAATCAGTAAGTATGATTCAAATTGTTCAATTTGAGAGGGAAAAACAAAATCCAATTGACATTAGCCATGGTATATTTATTGTAATGTTCTACGTGATGAATTGAAGATTTTTGTTCGAAAAGACTATTGCTAATATTTTATTCTTAAGTAGAGATTTGTGATTATCGATCAGACGAGTTTATCCAGATGATTTCAGTAAACATGTCATGAATGAATTTGTAGGTGATAAAGAGTATTCAACATTAAACTTAACAATTTGCTTTAAACGTCACAATAATGAAAAACAGAGACACAGTCTAATTAAACAAGGTTATGGATTTGTGTATCATTGACTGTTGACTTTTATGGGGGAAGACTTTTCTGTAGTCAGTCATACTGATTATTTAATGCCCCAAGGTTCACTTACTTACTTACTTACTTACTTACTCACGCCTGTTACCCTTAATGGAGCATAGGCCGCCGATCAGTTTGCTCCAACCAACTATGTCCTGGGCTTCCTTTTCTGGCTCTTTCCAGATTTTGTTCATTCTTCTCATGTCTTTCTCTAGTTACGGGCGTAATGTGTTCCTTGACCTTCGACTTTTCCTTTCACCTTGAGGGTTCCATGTGAGGGCTTGTCTTGTGTTGCAGTTCGGTGCTTTTCGCAGTGTGTGTTCTATCCACCAACTCCACAGCTTCTTCCTGATTTCCTCCTCTACTGGAAGTTGGTTTGTTCTCTCCCACAAAGTAAGTTGTTGCTGATGGTGTCTGGTCAAGGGATCTGAAGTATTTTACGAAGACATCTGTTCATAAATACTTGTATCTTCTGGATGATGTTGGTCTTCGTAGTTTTCCAAGCTTCCGCTCCATACAAGAGAACTGTCTTGACATTTGTATTGAAAATCCTGATTTTGGTGTTGATTGATATTTGTTTGGAGTTCCAGATAGTTTTTAATTGTAAAAATGCAGTCCTTGCTTTGCCAATCCGCGCCCTCACTTCTGCATCTGATCCACCTTGGTTGTCGATGATGACGTTCATTGTAATGTCCTCTTTCTTTGTTTCGAAGTATGCTTTAATGATCCCATGCCCCTAGGCAGCAGCCGTTTTACTCTTTAGATCTTTGAGACTTACCTGTGATTCTTTACAGAGTCATCAATGTGTAGTGCTAAGAATTCGCATATACAAAGATAATACTTTGTGCTTTTCAGTATTACTATTGATAATTGATGCCAATCTGTGACGGACTGATAGTTACACATAGTAATGATCTACAGGAAATCACTTTATTGTATACAAAATTGTTAACCATGCTAAAACACATGAAGTTAGATCGTCAGTAGTCTTCTAAGTTAAACTATTAGTTTGCCAAGTGAATTTATTTTAATGGTGATAATTATTCATTGAAAATATTTTCCATATGCATTTATAGTCATTACCAAGTTTACAATTCCACTACTACTACTACTACTACTACTACTACTACTACTACTACTACTACTACTACTACTACTACTACTACTACTACTACTACTACTACTACTACTACTACTACTACTACTACTACTACTACTACTACTACTACTACTACTACTACTACTACTACTACTACTACTACTACTACTACTACTACTACTACTACTACTACTACTCACACTATATTCTTGGTTAACCAACAAGCCTGCTGCACAGGCACATGCTGTGCTGCTTTTTAGGCAGCACAAGAATTCTCACAAAAGCCAATTTTGCGATCACCCCTGCCCCATACGGGAACGCACATGTTGTCTAGATTGGTCTGCAGACAAGTGGACGTCCAAAAAGCACGCACGTGAGCAGTGGTCCCCGTTCGAGCACTTATGAATCAACTCGATCCCTCCAACCTATCCACTACCTACAATCCCCAGTCGGCAAGGGCAGCAAGGCCGGCTTTCCCAGCTAGACCTGGCACCCCGAAACGGATTACCGGTCCACCCAGAAGTGCACTAACCAGCGGCCGTTACAACCGTCTGGCCTCCAACTGTCCTGCGCTGATACAATCGACCAGAGCCCCCAAACTCCACACGAAGCTAAAGATCGAGTTTGTCCTACAGGGTCAACCGGAACGTACACCCTCCCATGGGGGAGATGTCATGGACTCGACCAAGTGCAAGCACTCAGCCAAGCAGGGTTAATCCCACTACATAAGAAAACAGACATCATCGGCGTCCAGTACGTTTTCAGTGCTGGATCACATAACCCAACTGGAGACCCTTGTTTAAGGGGCCTCGACGCCAGTTGACTCAATACACATAGAGTTTTTGGGACAATCACATAGGGTCGGCGTTGATAATTCGGGATCTTTACAGCTGCTCAAACAGATCGTCTAGAGCCGCCTTCGAGAACGCCGGAAAGCTATATCCCAATATTTCAAACTTACCTACACTTAGTGGACGAGGTTCAGACTTAAACTCGTTCGGTCCTAATCCTCCGGAGTGGCGAAACCGCATCCACAGCCTTGCGACCATGAACACATGCCATTATTCTGGACCATGCAAGGCACAAAATCCTAAGACTTCTTGCTAGTACATTTGAGTCAACGGATCAGAGTAGCCTACCTGGACGCTGGTTCATTGTTTTGTTCTCATTATTCGACTAAGATGAACCCGTAAAAGTTTTAAGCATACCTAAAAACGAGTGTAACAAGAAAGAAATCAGTAAGCCTGTGGTGTTGTGGTGTGAGCTACTTATAAGTAGTATATGACGTGAGTGTCAGTCAACGTAATGTCTGGCAGCAGAAGATGGGGGAAGATCAAGAAAGGAAGAGTTAGAACACAATAGAATTTGTATGAAACGCATGAATAGTGAGTGACAATGGATTGATGTTGTTTGCAACAGGAACAGTCCAGTTCGATATGATGAACTGTTAGTTTGCAAATGAACGATTTACGATATGGTTTTCCTATTTTACTGAGTAACTCTGTAATTTTCGTTAAATACAATTCGGTTGCCCCACCTGTGTTCTCCTTCACTACACTACTACTACTGCAACTCAATTTATAATATTTACTATTATTGGTATCATTATTATAGTTTTTACATACTGACTACATTCAATACACCAATTCAATATTCAGCGCTACGTTAATGCCAAAAATTTTTACCATTTAAACAAATAATTCATTGAATTCTTAATTAATGAAACACATGAATAAAATGTATTGTAATCTTTTTTTAAATAAACATGTAGGATTTCAATACGAGTCATAAATAACACGATTATAACAAATTACCCAACAATTTTAAATGAGTGAGATGAAATTTTTAAAAAATATTATTAATGAGTTAAAGAGCTGAAAAACTTCACATGGGGTAACAGATGTAAATAAGTGGATAATTAAGTAAGTAAGTAAGTAAGTAAGTAAGTAAGTAAGTAAGTAAGTAAGTAAGTAAGTAAGTAAGTAAGTAAGTAAGTAAGTAAGTAAGTAAGTGAGTAAGTAAGTGAGTAAGTAAGTGAGTAAGTAAGTAAGTAAGTAAGTAAGTGAGTAAGTAAGTAAGTGCATAAGTAAGTAAGTAAGTGCATAAGTAAGTAAGTAAGTATGTAATTAAATAAGTAAGTAAGTAAGTAAGTAAGTAAGTAAGTAAGGTGTGTAAGTAAGTAAGTAAGTAAGTAAGTAATTAAGTAAGTAAGTCAGTCAGTAAGTCTATATGTATGTACGTTAAACGTCGAGACTATGATTCATGGATGAGCCATTCATAGTTGAGATAGTAAGTCATGGATTTTGGCAAAAAATCTATTTACTTACATGATTGTACAACATTTAGTCATCATTACTGGTTACCAGTTTAGGATGAAAACTCTCAAACCCTCTTACTGATTACTTACACTAATACAATAATCCTCCTTTCACCACTGCTAACTATATGAATATCTTCAAGGTCACTTTAGTATTACTTAAAAGTAATCAGTAAATGCTTTTTGTCTCACCAATCAAACTAAAATACCTTATCAAGACTAAGTATAGAAAATATTGTGGTGCGCGCTACTTATAAGTAGTATATGACGCGTGTATAAACGTTATGTTTGTCAGCAGAAGATGGAGGAAGATCAAGAAAGGAAGAGTGTGAACACAATGGAATTTGTATGAAATGCATGAATAAGTGAAATGTCAGACAATGGATTGATGATGGATTGAAGATTTGCAAATTAACGGTTTACGATATGGTTTTCCTATTTTCCGAACGTTAACAAGAACACTGGAATATGACCAGGTACATCGAACAGACAAACTTCTAAATAAAACAAGACAAGCATGCAGGGTTAGGTTGAGGTGGTCACAATTTGTTCTTTTCATAAGACAATTGTTGCACTAAATACTCGTTGTAAATATTATGAAAATCCTATCTAATACCAAAAAATTGGCTATTTCAAGTTTTGTAATTCTCAACATCACTTACTGCTATTAGGTAACAGAAACTTTTAAGTAAAAATCATAGTTTATCATTAGAGAATTGTGAAGTTTGTTGAGTTAAGTTGAAATCATGAATCAATCATTGTTATAAGAACCAATTGGAACCTAGGATCACTGGACAGTCATTTCATCCTAATATCGGACTTATCAACAGTGTGCATTCACGAAGACCTTCGGTCTCGTTTAATCCCACTTGATCGCTAAGTAGGCATCCAACGTTGGTAATGTCTAACCTTAATGTGCTCACTAGTGATTAACTTTGTGGGCGAAGATTCTCAGAGTCTTTGTAAAAAGTTGTGATCAGTGGAATTCAACCCTGTCGGGTGACTACCAAACTCAATGGGTGAGGTTTCCCGATACCTTGCATTGATTGAAGTTACGTAGTAACACTGTTAGGTGCCAGCTCAGTGATCTAGAGGATGGGTGTCCGTCTGAGAAACTGAAGGTTCTGGGTTCAATCCCCTAATATGTAAGAGATGGATGCGCAGTGCTGATGAGTTCCATACCAGGACGATACAGCCATCCAGTATTTCCAGCATTTTCATGATAGTCTTTCAATAACTGATTCATGAGTTCAATAGAATTTTGTAAATTTATTGATAAATAAAATACCTAGTAAAAATTGTCATTATTTTTTTCAATCAAGTACTAAAATTATACTATGAACTGTGGAAAAAATTAAATGAATGTTTCTTCCATAGATTCTCAGTTTTTCGACTAATCTAAGTATCAACTAAGATAGACACAAAATCACACGAGTTGATAATTATTGGTAGTGATTCTAACAAGTCAGTCAAAAAACACCCAATCATCTTTTTATGACATTCAGAAAATGTTGATGTTTTAGCGGTGAATTGTGATCAATCTTTGTTGATAGGTACATCCACTATGAATAGACTCCTTGATTTAGTCTTGAAACTGTTGGGGATGTTAGATCCCTAGAACTCGCTTGATAAATGCCTTAATTTTGGATTTCACGTTTGCGAGCGTGGGCTGATCAGTTGACCTTGAGATTTCATTTCTCACCAGGAAAATCCATGGCTGTGATTGGTTGCTGTGTGTTTTAGTGTGCTATTTGCTTAACTGTCCCAAGGATATTTCTATGGTGTATAAATAAACGAGAGTTGTATTCTTGATTGTACTGTGATTGTTGGGTGTTTGTAGAATATACTTCTACGCTTACAAAGCCTTTTACTCTATTTGTGGATTCAAGGTAGCCTACCTGGACGCTGCCCGACCGAAGCTGCTACCTTGACGTGGTGGTCGGGCTTGCCTATCGTGATGACCCAACCAAGCTATACTGGCTGGAACATATGTTCCTGCAGGTCCTACCATGCCAGGCTGGTCGATTGGAGAACGATGAGACTAAAAGCAGCTACCCAAGGTCTGAGGGCGAAGTCGTACTGCTGACTGCAGAGGGGTGTGACAGCAGTAAGGTGTTTCCCTCGGACAACCAGCATCTGCAGCGATGCTGCCTTCTCACAAGGAAGGAAGCGTTAGAAAAGGTCGGCCCTAAAAATGTCACACTCCCCCTAACTCACGGATTTCCGTCTCCTTGGGTAAGGGTGCCCACTAAGGGCCTTTAAGAACGGAGCTAATCCTCTAAATACCTTTCATAAAAAGGCCGTGAGTGACCGGCCTCAAGCAGTTGTCCCTTGGGCTCTGCGGTCACGCACCAACACTAATCCATCTTCCTTTTCAGGTCCCTCAAGAAACAACCTTCCACGGTGTGAGCAGCCGGGAAGTGACAACCGCCCTCATACCCGTAACAGCACACGAGACCAAATTGGTCCAAATCAAATCCTTCCTACACCCCTTAGTACCTCTCTTATCTCTACAACTAACTCTACTCACACTCCCTTTTCTCACTGCACCGCTAATGCAAACGAAGCGAAATCACGTAACGTCGTTCCTGGTCTCTTGAAACCCCGTTCTAGACTACATATTGGAGCTTTTAATGTACGGACATTGTGTCAAATAGGGCAACAGGCATCATTAGCTAGGACTTTAGAAACTCGTGCCATCGATGTGTGCTGCGTCTCGGAAACGCGCATACAGGATCCTAGTAAAGTCATTAACCTGATTCCACCTTGTCAAAATAAAGAAGCAGCCCGATTCACTCTTCGTGTATCCGGTAGCCCTGATGCTGCTTCCAGGGGTCTTGCTGGCGTAGGCATAGCGTTGAGTCCTAGGGCAGAATTATCTCTCCTAGACTGGATCCCAGTAGATAGTCGTTTGTGCGCTGTCCGACTAAACGGGACAGTAAGGACTCGTAAGGATAGGGACACTCGCCGTTGCCTCTTCGTCATATCTGCCTATGCCCCTACTGACTGCAGTGCAGACGAGGTTAAAGATGAGTTTTACAGAAAGCTTTCGAACCTCCTCCAAAAAGCTAAGCGCTCTGACATAGTAATAATGGCTGGTGACTTTAATGCTCAAGTAGGTAGACTAGGTGAAAAGGAAAGACATCTTGGTGGATGTTATGGTGTAGCGACTGAGAGAACAGACAATGGCGACCGTCTGTTGCAACTGTGCTCAGATAACCGCCTATTCTTAGCGAACACCAACTTTAGGCATAAGGAAAAGCATCTCTTGACCTGGCGACCTCCAAAGTCGTCTCAACGTTGGACTCAACTAGATCACATCGCCATCAGCCACCGATGGAGGGGTTCGATAGAAGACTGTCGCTCGTTCTGGGGCACATGTTTGGATTCAGATCATGCTCTAGTGCGAGCTCGTATCTGTTTAAGGCTTACTGGACGTAGGAAAGACACCGTAAGAAAGCCTCTTAGGGTTTTACTTAATGATAATCAAACCAAGAAAATATTTCAGGAGCAACTAGAAAGAGAGTTAAGCAACCATGCAAGCGATTCCCATCCAGAAGCAGGTTGGTATGATATCAAAAAGGCTGTGGAAACAGCAGTGATATCTGCTAGGAAGGTAAACCATGAGGCTAGGATGAAGCCGTGGATTTCAGTCGCATCCACCGAACTGATGGATGCTCGAAAACGCATCCCACCTGACTCTGAGCATGATGAAGAGCGTAGTCAGCTTAGGCGCAGACTTATAAAAAGTCTGCGTAACGACCGCGAACAGTGGTGGGTGGCGGAAGCAAAAGCGATGGAAAAGGCAGCGGCGATAGGCAACGCTAGACAACTTTTCCGCCTTATCAAAGAAACCGGTATTAAGAACCCGAATGTGAGTGAAACTATCTCGGAAAAGGATGGTCTTATTATCCATTCTCAATCCAGGAGACTGGATCGATGGGGAGAACACTTTAGGGATCAGTTCAACTGGCCACGAGCCACTCTTCAGTTACCCACGATCTCCAGTCATCCTGAATGGCAAATCGACGTAAGTCCCCCTAGTCTTAATGACGTTGAGAAAGCGTTAGGAAATCTGAAACGAGGACGAGCTGCAGGTCCTGAAAGACTGACCCCTGAGATATTCAGGGATGGTAGTCCAGTTTTAGCAGCTAGATTGACTGAGATCTTAGGTAAAATCTGGGAACTGGACGTAATCCCATCCGACTGGTCTCAATCCTTGATTGTCCCAATCTATAAGAAAGGACAAAAGTCTTCTTGTGACAATCACAGAGGAATAAGTCTAACTAATATAGTATCTAAAATATTGGCCTCAATAATACTTCGACGCTTAACGAAAGCTCGTGAAGAGCAGACTCGAGAAAACCAGGCTGGTTTTCGACCTGGACGCGGTTGTATAGACCACGTCTTCACACTCAGACAGGTCCTGGAACATAGACACACATTTAGGCGTCCTACAATAGTTGTTTTCCTGGACCTTAAGGCGGCATTTGACTCAGTGGATCGTGAGGTTCTGTGGCAGTGTCTGTCATTGAAAGGTGTACCACAGAAGTACATTAACCTTATACAAGCCCTCTACTCGAACACCACTGGTCGGGTGAGGGCTTATGGCGAACTGTCACCGGAATTCTCTACATCAAGTGGTGTCCATCAGGGATGTCCACTTTCTCCATTCTTGTTTAATTTTATCATAGACATGCTCCTAGAAATTACCTTATCCTCGTCTGAATTTTCAGGAGTAGACCTTTTACCAGGTGGCTCGCTTATTGACTTAGAATATGCCGATGACATTGTCCTACTTGGTGAAAACGCTGACAAAATGCAGAGTCTTCTGACTACCCTAAGCAACAATGCAACCATGTTCGGGATGCGGTTTTCCCCCTCGAAATGCAAAATGTTGCTTCAAGATTGGGTTGCATCGGCACCTGAACTAGTGATAGGGAGTGAAGTAGTCGAACGTGTAGACCGCTTCACTTATCTTGGGAGTCTCATCAGTGCCGATGGCCTGGTGACTGACGAAATCTCAGCACGGATACAGAAGGCTCGATTGGCTTTTGCCAACCTGCGTCACTTATGGCGAAGGCGAGATATCCGTTTGCTGACTAAAGGACGAGTGTACTGCGCAGTAGTTCGCTCCGTCTTACTTTATGGCTGTGAAACATGGCCAGTGAGAGTAGAAGATATTCGTAGGTTACTGGTTTTCGATCATAGGTATCTTCGAAGCATTGCTCGTATATCGTGGGACACCCGAGTGAGCAACGCTGTTATTAGGAATCGGGTACTAGGTAAGAATGGCAGATCAATCGATGAAGTATTCAAACTTCACCAGTTGACGTGGTTAGGACATAAGTTGCGTATGCCGAACCACCGGCTGCCTCGTCGAGCCTTGTTTTGTAGTGTGGGAATAGGTTGGAAGAAAGTTAGGGGAGGCCAAATCAAAACATGGCAGAAATCTATGAAGTCATTGACAAGTGGACTTAGCAATGTCGGTAATTGTCGACTACCTGGTTGGGGTCCGCGAGATGATAATAATCGATGGTTAGAGACCTTGAATGACATGGCTCAAAATCGTTCGCAATGGCGCCAGTGCATTTATTCTCTGTGTTCTCTCAAATCCTAAACTTCTGGATTCTTCAACACCTCTAGTTTCGACTCTCTAAACTTTTCTCACTGAATCATACTTCTTGAGTAGTATCTTCTAATCCTAACCTCTCCGATTACTTCTAATACCTTTACTACCTCTAATACTATTGGATTTGAATTGACAATTACATCTCTGTGCTGATGTGGTATGGCAACATGAACTGATGTACTTATGTACAAAGTTCTACGTTGCATCTGACTGACTGACTGACCTGGACGCTGGTAATTGTCTCGTTCGCGTTTATCGACTAAAGTGAATTCGTAATAGCTTCAACCATACCTAGTGACGAACTTAACAGATACATTGATGTACGTTTTCCGCCCTCTTTTGAAAATCGTCATTTGAATGAATTAGGATAGCGTTTGATTAAAAAAAATTCAGTGTATAAATTCTACACCTAACACTTCAACACTTCAATATTGTTTTACTTTTATTAATCTGGTGAATTTGAAAAAAATCGAAAACTCCATTGACTTGTTAGCGAATTTTTAAAATTGAATAAGATGCTTATAATGGGTCTTAACATCAGTGTAAAATCGTCTATGAACAGTTATGAATGATTTCATAAAGACAATGAAATCACCAATCAATCATTGTTAGACGAGACCATTAGAAACCTGAAACCACTAGACGGTCGTTTCGTCCTGGCATGTGACTCCTCAGCAGTGCGTACCTACAGCTTCTGCACCTGGCAGGATTCGAACCCAGGACCTCGGTCGTGCGCACCAACGCCTAACTTCTGGATCATTGGGCCGGCATCCAACATTGTTTTAATGTCTAACTCTGATCAATCTACGGATTTTGCGTGACCTCACCAATGTGTTTTTGGTAGTTACTGCCTACACCCGATAGAGTTGAACTCACTAGAACTCCTAGGCTTTCCTCACGAACCTCTAGTCACTAATGAGCACATTTTACAATTTTTCAACAACCGAATTGAATATACTGGAATTTCAATATCCAAATCACAGAAATACATTTAATAGAACAACAATTTTTCGAAATAAAACTAATCAGTAAGTCAATAACTACTAATAGGAACCGATGACAACAATTCAAATGACCATCCATAAAACAAAATAAAAATGAATAACTGAAATCGTGTACAGAAATTATTGGTTTATTGGTGAGAGTACAGCATAAACAGCAAAGAGCTAAAAAATCATTTCAATCCTTTTTCATTAAGGTAAGTTAGTATATATTGTATGTAGATTTGACAAGTGTACGTATATATATATGTTGACGAGCGATAGCCAGACACATACATTTGATTACAACACCTATGATTGGTTTATTTTCAATGACTTCTGATGACTAGAGACATACACTCACACTACATACACACACACAAACACTCGTGCACCTTTTTATGCCTATTTGTTGTGACTATTTAAATTGCGCGCTCGGTTTTTTTTCGTGTATTTTTTTTCTCGACTTTCAATAATAAATGTTTCATCAACGCCAATAACATTTAACATTGATTTACACTAGTCATAACGAAAACAATCACTTTACTGATTATTAATATATAGTAGAGATTATTAAAATTATTATTATTATCATACTTATTATTATTAGTAATCAGGGCGATTCGCAACCGGATCATTACTGTATCGATTATCAGGATGCTTGTCAATCAATGGAATCAATGTCAAAAACTTATTTCATTATGTGATAATGGATAAATTATTATAACATTGGAAATTGTCAATCATAAACGTTTATTCACTTTTTTTTGTGATACACTACAAACATTGTCAAATTGTACATTGAACAAATTGTTTGAATTTACGAAGAGTTATTGGTGTGTGTGCGTGTGAGAGAGTGAAAGTTGAATTCGGAGTTGTTATTTTTTTTTGTGACCAAATTAAACAAATGACGGAACGATTCGTTTGATCATTGATCATTGATCATATTGACTCGATCATTGTTAAATTTTGTGCAGGGGGATCACACATTGAGCCTCAGTGAGACACACACGTACATCATAAGTACAAAAAAGAAATTATAAAACATTATGGATGCTAATAATGCATTGAAATTAGGCAGATTATTTCGTGTGCCTTATGGTGGAGAAGGTGTGGATTTTATTGATCAGTTAAATTATCAATTCACCAGTGGGATCATTGTATTATTTATTGTGATGATTGGATTTCGTCAATATGTCGGTAAGTCTATGTATGCATTGTTTCATTTGAAATATTATTAATTAACCGGTTCAATTGAAAAGGAAAAGAATCAAAACAGAATCACTCATGGATATTTGTGTTGCTGTTTTGTGTTTTGCAATGAACTATGAGAAAAGTGAAGGGTAGTCTTTTCACTAATTAAAATTAAGGTAGTCTTACTAAAATATTAGTGGTTTGTAGTTATTTGAGTGACTTGTGACACCGGAGGTTGTGGACAATGGTGTTTTGTTTTTTTTCTGTTCAATAAATCTACTTTTTTTATGGCACTTTTGGTTATTTTTTTTAAAAAAAGTTCATTTAGTGAGTGACCATTGAATATTGAACAGTCAGTCAGTTAGTCAGATGCAACGTAGAACTTCGTATGTACGTAAGTACATCAGTTCATGTTGCCATACCACATCAGCACACAGAGATGTCATTGTCAACTCAAATCCAATAGTAGTAGTAGAGGTAGTAAAGGTATTAGAAGTAATCGAAGATATTATTATTCAAGAAGTATAATTCAGTGAGATAAGTTTAGAAAGTCAAAACTAGAGGTGTTGAAGAATCCAGAAGATTAGGATTTGAGAGAACACAAAGAATAAATGCATCGGCGCCATTGCAAACGATTTCGAGCCATGTCATTCAATGTCTCTAACCATCGATTATTATCATCTCGCGGACCTCAACCAGGTAGTCGACAATTACCAACATGACTCAGTCCACTTGTCAATGACTTCATGGATTTCCGCCATGTTTTGGTTTTGCCGCCCCTAACTTTCTTCCAACCTACTCTCCTACACAACAATACATAGCTCGTCGAGGCAGTCAGTGGTTAGGCATACGTAACACATGTCCCAACCACATCAACTGATGAAGTTTCATTACTTCATCTACTGATCTGCCATTCTTACCTAGCATCCGTTTCGTAGCATCTCGGGAATTTCAAACTTTTATTCAATTTGCATTGTTGATGTCACGTGTTGTAGTGTGTGCTACATATTCTTGAAATGAATTCTTTTCCGATTTACATTATTTATTCATTAATTCAGAAAAACAAAAAAAACGTTTGAAAATATTTGAAAATCTCATATAATTATTGTACATTGAACATTGTACAAAGGATATCAACCATGAGTCAGTGATTTAGTATACAATTTAAAAATTCGAGAGTAACTTGTGAGTAATATATTTTTTTATTAATTTTAATGTACAATCCTACATGTTGATTTTGAAAGAACACAGAAATACAGTAGTTTTCGGAAAAGTTTATAGGATTACTTTTTAAAAAAGGTTGCTTAGTGGATATTGATGTGTGCCGGAAAAATAACTATTTAAATACGGATGAAAATTTCATGTAATATAGTTCATTTCTGGGTATTCAATGTACATTTGTCTATGCCATGTATGAATTTCACACAACAAATATAATTCATAAATCTAACCAACTTAGATGAAACCTTTTCAAATTAAACTAATATATTTAGACAAAATAGTAATTTACGTTCAGATGTAATTGGAGTTTTAGTGAGAGGATGTAATAGGTGTCGACTTCAGAAATATCCCATATAATGAGAGCATTCGCTGTTTGTTGACCCATTTAGAAAATGAATTGCAGTTAGAGGTCAACTTAGTAGATATTTTGATGATTGCGAGTTTTCTGTATGACAGCTGAATACTTGCTTGCTTGCTTACTTACTTACTTACGCCTGTTAACCCCCAATGGAGCATAGGCCACCCACCAGTTTTCTCCTACCAACTCTGTCCTAGGCTTCTCTTTCCAGTTTATTCTAGTTTTTCGTTCATTCTTTATCATCTCTTTCTTTATTTCTCGGTGTAATGTGTTCCTTGGCCTTCCTCTTTTCCTTTCACCTTGAAGGTTCCATATGAGGGCTTGTTTGTGACGCAGTTAGGTGCTTTCCGTTGTATGTGTCCTATCCACCAACTCCACCACTTCTTCCTGATTTCCTCCTCCATTGGAATCTGGTTTGTTCTCTACCACAGTACGTTGTTGCTGATTGTATCTGGCCAACGAATTCGACGTATTTAGCGTAGACAACTGTCACTAAATACTTGTATCTCGTGGATGATGGCTTTCGTAGTTAGCCAAGTTTCCGCTCAATACAGTAGAACTGTCTTGACATTTGTATAAAAATTCTGATTTCGGTGCTGATTGATATTTGTTTTGGAGTTGCAGATATTTTTCAGTTGTAAAAATGTAGCCTTTGCTTTGCCAATCCTCGCCCTCACATCTACAACGGATCCACCTTGATTGTCGATGATGCGTGACAGCTGAATGTCGTTGGATTTTTTTTATTCCAGGCACAATTGTGGAATTTATATGGTTCAAGCTTGGACAACAGCACACTTTCTATAGGGATTAAATGGGTCCATTTCATTTCCAGTATCCTAACAAATTTTACATATGAACTGTGAAAAAAAATTGTAGACTTTTGTAAAATTACCTGAAATGTAATCCTAATTATTTGTAAAAAAAACACAGTCATAAATTCTCACTGAATTATCGAAATAAATATAATTGATTATACAATGTACTTGTAAATTAATGAATTTTCTAACACATAAAAACCGAGTTTATCATCTGATATATGTTTCTTTAAATGGAAGAAAAGCGCAACTTCATTTGTAAAGTCAGCTAGTAATGTTTTTTTCCCCTAATTAAATATGTAACAGATTCAAAAAGACAGTTTATAACATGATTTCAGGGTAAAACTACGATCTTCTAATGAGAAATCGTGACTAGTGGATGAGTTCAACCTTGTCGACTGTAGACAGTAACTACCGAAGACAATGGTGGGTGAGGTGGCGCGAGGTAAATATTAACACTGTCAGATACTGACTCAGTGCTCCAGAGGTTAAGCGTTCGGGCTCAACACTGAAGGTCTTGGGTTCGAATCCTGTGCATAGCAAGAGTCGTGGGTGCACACAGCTGATGAGTATCATACTAAGATTAACACAACCATCTAGTGATTTCAGGTTTCTAACGGTATGGTTTAACGCTTAACTTCTGGACCACTGAGCCAGCTGGCATCCAAAAGTATTTTAATGTCTCAATCTGATCAATCTACGGAATTTCGCGAAACCTTACTCACCATTGTCTTTGGTAGTTACTGTCTACACTGGACAAGGTTGAACTCCACCACTAATAACGACTTCTCATTAAAACTCCGAGAATTTCCTCACGTACCTGTTGTACTATTGAGCACATGTTTTTGGTTTTACATAAGAGTATAATGAAGATCGTAAGTAAGTAAGTAAGTAAGTAACGGTATGGTCTAACAATAATTCATCCATGATTTCAAGGTTAAAATCTCCAATGCAAAATCATATTATTGAATATTGAAAACATTTACATGAACTATAAAAATGACTTTTCAAACAAACCAAACCGAAAACCAAACCAAAAATAATCAATTACCAAAAAACGCAACCTAAAATTTCTATCGTCGTTGTTTCAAACAAATGAAACGCGCAATTATTGAAAAAACAAACAAACAGAACAAATTATTCAAATATAAGGAAGCAATAAATTTTTCAGAATCGAACATTTTTCTTTTTTCGCTTCGACTTGGTTTATTTCGTTCGATAATATTGGCAATGTTTGGTTGTGTACATTTTTAGCCAGTCAGTCAGCCGAAAAATCAATTTAAGTCATCAAATTAGTAGAAAATGGAGGTAATTTTTTTTTGTGGGTTAATTAATCAGAGACAAAAAAAAAACTGTATCAATCAATGAACTAACTGACTTGTGTCGTCTAGTTTTGTGGTTGTGAGGAAATTCTTAGAGTTTGAAGTGAGAAACCATGATCAGTGGAGTTCAACTCTGTCGAGTACAAAGAGTTATCTACTTACTGAAGACAACGATTGGTGATTGCTCAATAATACCTTGGATTGAGTTTGAATTTATCATCTTAGGATGCCGTCTCAGTGATCTAGAGGTTATATTTTGGTACACGAAACTGAACACACTGGTTTTGAATCTTACGAGTAACAGAAGCCATGGATGTTGTGTATTGATGATAAGTCCTCAACTAAGATGAATTGGCCATCCACACATATTGATCGTCGACTCATGAATTTCATCGAAAAATTATATCAACTGAATGTCATAACTAGAGTTTTTTCGAAAATCACTATATCACTAGTAATTTTTTCATGGTTTGAAAGTGCATCTTCTGTTTTTTTTATTTTCAAAGTTACATAATCTTTCAATTGTTAGATGCGGGCTCAGTGGTCTAACGGTTAGGGCGTTCGCGCACAATACCGAAGGGTTCGAATCCTGCGGGGTGCAGGAGTCGTGGATGTGCACTGCCACTGAGGAGTCCCATACCAGGACGAAACGACCGTCTTTCAGTGCTTCCAGGTTTCTAATGGTGGTCTAACACTGATCGATTCATGGTTTCAAAAATGTGTAATCTTCTGAATACAATCACTTTCTTTGCCTACTATAAGATTTCTAAATATGAACAAAATATATATACATTTTTATGATCTTGTAATATAAAAATCATCAGGAATGTGTAGAATTTTTTCTCTTCAAAATAACAAATACCAACTGAATAATTTTTAACTTATATCAGTTTATATCAGTAAGATGACGAAGAAAATTTTTAGTTCCGGGGATTAAGTGAAGTGGTGTTTAGACTCTCTGAAGCTTGGGACGTTTTGTTTGTGAAGCTTTCATTGTTTATCTTCTGAACAATATAATCATGAGGAAAGTGAATAACTGTACGAGGAAATTGACATTTCATACGACGTACTTGTCATAGAATGATCTCCATTGAGATATCGGTAAAAATCATACAGTATAAAAACAGCTATTTTGTTTTAAGAATAAGACTCTTCAACAATGCACACTCATGATTACACTAGCAGTCAAACTTAAAAAAAAAAGTTTAGGTCCTGTAGTAAATTGCCACAAACACACATTCTTATTAATTATCTAACTATTTTTACGTTGAAATCTTGAATAAAACAATG